TCCCAATTTTCTTTTCATTTCCATTTACATGGAGTATGTTATTCCATCCCTTCACTTTTAGTCTGTGTTTGTGTTTAGATCTGGAGTGATTCTCCTATAGGGTGTGTGTGTGTGTGTGTGTGTGTGTGTGTATCTTGTTTTTTTTATCCATTCAGCTACCCTCTTTTGATTGGATCACTTAGTCTCTTTACATTTGAAGTGATTATTGATAGGTATGCACTTATTGCTATTTTGCTAATTTTTTTCTGGGTGTTTTTATAGTTCTTCCCTCTTCTTTCTTCTTCTATGTTCTCTTCCCTTGTGACTTTCTTTAGTAATATGTTTGCTTTCCTTTCTTTTTATTTTTTGTGTATTTGTTATAGGTTTTTGGTTTTTGGTTACCATGAGGTTCCTGTAGTAACAATCTGTTTATAGCTGTTTAAATTAATGGTCACTTAAATTAGAGTGCATTCTAAAAGCACTGCATTTTTGTCCATCCTCCACATTTTATGTTTTTGATGTTATCTTTTACATCTTTTTATTTTGTGTATCACTTAACTAATTATTTTAGATATAGATGATTTTACTACCTTTGTCTTTTAACCTTCATACTAGCTTTGTAGGTGGTTCTTATCCACCTTTACTGTATGTTTGCTTTTACCAGTGAGATTTTTTCTTTCATAATTTTCTTGTTTCTAGTTATGGCCTTTTCTTTTTTGCTTGAAGAAATTCCCTTAACATTTCTTGTAATGTTGGTTTAGTGGTGATGAACTCCTTTAGGTTTTTTTTTTTGTGGTACGCGGGCCTCTCACTGTTGTGGCCTCTCCCGCTGCGGAGCACAGGCTCTGGATGTGCAGGCTCAGCGGCCATGGCTCACGGGCCCAGCCACTCCACAGCATGTGGGATCTTCCCGGACCGGGGCACGAACCCGTGTCCCCTGCATCGGCAGGCGGACTCTCAACCACTGTGCCACCAGGCAAGCCCTCCTTTAGCTTTTATTTGTGTAGTAAACTCTTCAGTTCTGAAAGATATTACTTCAATTCTGAAAGATAAACTTGCCAGGTAGTGTCTTCTTGGTTGTAAGTTTTTTTCCTTTCAGTACTTTGAATATATTGTGCCAGTTCCTTCTGGACTATAAATTTTGTGCTGAAAACTCAGCTCATTATCTTATGGGGGTTCCCTTGTAAGTAACTAGTTGTTTTTCTCTTGATGCTTTTAATATCTTCTCTTTAACTTTTGACATTTTAATTGTAATGTGTCTTGGTGTGGGTCTCTTTGGTTTCATCTTGTTTGGGACTCTGTACTTCATGGACTTGGATGTCTGTTTCCTTCATCAGGTTAGGGAAGTTTTTTAACCATTATTTCGTCAAATAGGTTTCCTGTCCCCATTTCTCTCTTTTCTCCTTCTGGGACCCCTTTGTTGTGAATTTTAGTAAGCTTGATGTTGTTCCAGAGGTCCGTTAAACTCTTTTTTCTTTTTGGTGTTCTGATTGGATGATTTCCACTACCCTGTCTTCCAGTTGGTTGATCCATTCTTCTGCATCTGCTGTTGGTTCCCTCTGGTGTATTTTTCATTTCCGTTATTGTATTCTTCAGTTCTGATTGGTTCTGTTTTACATTTTCTCTTTGTTGAAAGTTCTCATTGTGTTCCTCCATTCTTCTCCTCAGTTTGGTGAGCATCATTTTGGCTATTCCTTTGAACTCTTTATCTGGTAATTTGCTTATCTCCATATTGTTTAGTTGTTTTTCTGAGGATTTGTTCTTTTTGTTTGGAAGGTCTCTTCGTTTTGCCTAACTCTCTGTGGTTGTTTCTTTGTATTAGGTATATCAGCTAGGTCTCTCCGTTTGAAAGAGTGGCCTTATGTAGGTGTCCTATGGGGCTCAGTGGTGCAATCTCCCCTGCTTACCCGAGCCAGGAACTCTAGGGGTTTCCCCTGTGTGGGATAGCTGTGCCTTCCTGTTTTGTTTGGGCTGTGATTGGTGCAGGTGTGCTGGTGGGTGGGGCTGGCCCCCAGCATGAGTGGCTGCAAGGCCTGGCCATGACTGTTACAGGTGCACTGTTTATGGGACTGGTCTCCAGTGTGGTAGATACCTTGGTGAGACACCGGTCAGTGCTGGATGGAGCAGCTCACTTGATAGGGTGAGGCAGGAGCTGCTTTGGAGGGGCCAGCTGAGACAGGCCGGTTGGGCAGGGCTGATCCTCAAGGGATGCTGGGGCAGGGTGGATGGTGTTAGCTAGGTTGACTGAGCGTGACAAAAATGGTGCCCACCTGTGCTGGGCCAGCTAGGTGGAAGGAAAGTAAAAAGATGCCTGCCAGCACTTCTGTCCCTAGAGAAAGTTCCACCAGATTGTTGCTCCTTTGGCATATGCCCTAAAATTAGTCAGTGAATCTCCTTCTCATATGGCCCAGGTACTTTTCAAGCTGCTGCCTTTGCACTGGGACTTGGAGTGAGTGAGTTTGTGTCCAAGCCCTTCAAGAGCAGTCTCGGTTTCCCACATCCCTCTGGCTCTCCTGAATATAATCCTCACTGTTTTTCAAAGCTGCACATTATTGGGGCTTGTTTCCTGGTGCAGGTCCTCTGGGCTGGGAATCCCAATGTGGGGCTCAGACTCCTTGCTCATCAGGGGCTACCACCACTGTGGTTGTGATATCCCTCCCACTTGTGGTTGCTGTACCCAGTGTGTGGGTTCTGACTAGGCTACATTTGTGTCCCTACTTCTCATCTCAACATCCTTAGTTGCAGAAAATCTGTTCTGCTAGTCTTCAGGTCATTCTCAGAGATTTGTAGTTACCGTTTTGGTGTGTTTGTGGGAGGAGGTAAGCTCAGGATCTTCCTACTCTGCTTTCTTGATCCTGCCCCAGTACACATTTTTTAAAATCAAAAAATTTCCCTATGAAACTTATAGTTTGGCTCAATTTTAGATCTTTATTGCAAAATGAGTTGCTCCTTTGTGATACTTATTAAAATAAGAATGTTATTCATTTTACGCTAGCATCTAGAACTCTGTATAGGGCAATATTTCTAAAGATAGATTTTTTTGGGGGGTTCTCATATTTCTGTTATTTTACTACCTAATATTTAATATCTACTAGTGTTATTTTCTCACTGTGCTCTTTTATGTGTTGTTTTATAGTTTTTCCATTTGGTCATAAAAATTAAAGTAGAATCAATAATTTCTAGGTTTTACAGGTCTCAGTGTACACCCCAAATGTGAAAAGAAGTATGAGGACAAATGGGAGAATCTTAGCTAGAATTGTGATAGGATTTTAGTGGTTCTTGGTCTAGCAGAAGGTCTCAAGTCTTTTGGATCTAAGCTGTTGTCAAGAGGGCTTCAAAAAAGTTGAGAATAACAGCAGCTGTTATCTGCGCTGTCCAATATGGTAGCTAGTAGCCAGGTAAGACTTATATAAGAAAAGCTCATTACCTTATTGAGCACTTGAAGTGTGGCTAATCTGGATTGACTTGTTCTGTGTCAAAAATGCACAGGACTTTGAGGACTCAGTATGAAAGAAAGAATATAAAATAGCTCAATAAGTTTTTATTAATTTTATGTTGAAATGGTAATACTTTGGCTACACAGCAGTTCACCCTTATCTGCAGTTTTGCTTTCTGTGGTTTTAGTTACCCACAATCAAACATGGTCTGGAAATATTAAATGGAAAAATTCCCTAAGTAAACAGTTCGGAAGTTTTAAGTTGTGCACTGTCCTGAATAGCATGATGAAATCTCGTGCCATTCCACTCCATCATGCTCGAGATCCCCAAACATTGACATGGTCTGCTTTTGACATTTAACCATTGACAGCATCATGGCTCCATGACCCAGGGTCACCTGAAGCAGATGATCCTTCCTCTGACGTACTGTCAGAAGGTCAGTAGTCGCCTGATGATATGTCACAATGCTTATATCATTCCCCTCACTTCATCTCATCAAGTAGGTTATCATCTACGTCATCACCAGAAGAAGGAGTACAATACAGTAAGGTATTTTGAGAGAGATACCACATTTACATAACTTTTGTTAGAGTACATGGTTATAATTGTTCAAATTCATTATTAGTTATTGTTGTTAATCTCTAACTGTGCCTAATTTATACATTAAACTTTATCATAGGTATGTATGTATAGGAAAAAACAAAATATATATATGTTTGGTACTATCCACACTTTAAGGCATCTACTGCAGGCCTTGGAATGTGTCCCCCACAGATAAGGGAGCACTTTTTTTTTTTTTTTTTTTTGGGGTACGCGGGCCTCTCACTGTTGTGGCCTCTCCCGTTGCAGAGCACAGGCTCCGGATGCACAGGCTCAGCGGCCATGGCTCACGGGCCCGGCCGCTCCGCGGCATGTGGGATCTTCCCAGACCGGGGCACGAACCCGTGTCCCCTGCATCGGCAGGCGGACTCTCAACCACTGCGCCACTAGGGAAGCCCGGGAGCACTACTTTTTAATGTGAACACTGGGAAGTTTAAAATGGCATATGTAACTCCTGTTTGCGGTTCTTATTCTGTTGGACAGCACTGGCTCTAGATCTCTTTTGATAAGTAATGTATTTTCTTAGATATGGGTCTTCCAAAGAGACATCAAGATATCACTATGTTAGTGCACATAAGACTAGAGCTGTAAAATTACCAAGGTAGCTAAGGACAAGACTTTTCCATATAACTCTGCCCCAGCATAACCTGTACAGAGATTTGTCTAAGTGCGCTATGCTTGCTCCCACTCCCTCACCATACTTCGCCCTTCATTCTGGCCATGCAGAGCAGCTTGACAAAATTGGGGGCCTCCTGGAAATCTCAGCATACTTGTTGCTTGCTCTCAGCTGGATCGCTTCTGAAATGTTTCTTGAAAATGCAACTGCTTCAACAATAAGCTTCTTAATTGTGTCGTGGGTTCACCACGAGGGTATACAAACAGACCCTCAGCAGTAGCTAATTTTCCTTTAATTGTATCTCATTCTCATGTTGGAATATCCCATTTCTTATTCATGAAAGCCTAACACGTGTTAATCCATTACAGGTGGAGTAACTAACACGGCACAATATCAGAACAGACTAATGGTATATGAACCTAACCAGGTAAGACTCATATAAGAAAAGCTCATTACCTTAATTAAAATGAATTTTTAAAGATTGCTACAGTAATTAGGAGTTGGAATGCCAAGTCTATACACACACATGCAACTTAAACTTACATAGAGAAAAGGAAGCATCTGGTTAAACTTTTTGGTTGCCTTTTTTTTCTCACAAAACACAGAATTTCAGCTCTTGTCGTTTTATGCTATACTCAATGCTCAACTTTTTCAGAGTTTTGCATAATGTAGGAAAAAGGGAAAATATATTGATGAGTTAAATGCCTTTATTACCATGTATCTCAAGTGGCTGTTCATCATTGAGGCATCATGAGAAAGGAATTGGATTGTCCTGTTGCCACATCCTTTTAGAAGGCCTGTCATTCTAGGAGGGGAACGTGCTTATGGTTTCCTTATTCCCAAATAAAGTGATAACTTTTATTTAACTCTATATAGTCAACGTATCCCAGGACAGTGTGTAGGACAAATCTGAAGGAGAAGTATCTGAAGAGTTGGCGCATGTTTTTCATCTAAGAGCTGGGCCTGCACTGGGAGTATTTTGATGGTGGCTGTCCCTTCTATCCACTTTTCATGCACACTTAATGACTTTTCTTTCCCCAAAAGAAGAACTATTTTTATTCTCTTTTCCTTCTACCAAAGTATCTGTAACTGTGGCACATGTTTGCTGAATTTTGTCATTTCTATGATTTTGGTAATATAAGTATTTTTCATGATTTTGACAATATTCCAGAATGATTTGATTAGGAGGTTTCATCTTCATCAGCTGAAGATAATGGAACACAAAACAACAGGTTGGCTTTGGCACTCTGGGTTGGGACTAGCCATCAAATATATGTTCAGAGTGACCTCAGTCTATTTAGTATTTTTTAATTTTAACAATTACTTGATTCTGAGTTTAGCGAAGGTATTTCTGTCTTTGCAAGTGTTTCCTGATGTCATTAGAGGCTGTAGGTTTCAGAGACCACATGTCCCTGGGCCGGATGTCCCAAGAGGGATCATTAATTGCAGTTGCTTAAGTTTGGTGCACACGTGGTTAAAGAGGAAGGTGTTAACATTTCTCAGATGAGTTCTGTTTCATGTTTGTACACACATGCTCTTTTTAAAAATTCTGCTGGCATATTGTTTACGGTGGGTACTGGCAAACATCACATCTGCTTGCATCTTGCTCAGAATCTCAATAACTCTATCATTCAGCCCTGGTGCTTATTTCTCTTCTAGGCCTTTGTGGAGAGTCGATAATGCCTGCCATCTGCCACAGAGCACATCGCTACCTGCCAACAGGCAGGCTGGGGTGACCTCTGCTTCCCCAGCACTGATTAGTATTCACACGCTAGCTTATTAGGAATGACCCCACCAGGCCTCTCTGTTTCTTTGCCTTTGCAGCGGTTGGCGGCTCACCTGGCAGGCACGGCAGTGAAGGAAGCTAAAGATATAATCAGGGGATGCAGTCAGGCTTTGCAAACCAGATGGCATCCATAGTCCTGTGGCAGGGGACTGGACTGCTAGTGGAAACATTGATTCCTAGTACTGTGATGGGTTGCCTCATTTTAGAAAGCACCTAAGGAAAGCATCATCAGTCTTGAGTTAAATCCACTCATGCATAATGTATTAAAGATATTTCTTAAGAGAATATCTGAAAGAAAGGTTTGACTGTTTTATTAAAGATACATTTAATTGGAAGGAGGTTCTTAATGTGACATGTTTAAAAAGGGGGGAGCAGATAAATTCAAGCCTTAAAAAACTGGACAAACCATTTTCTTTTTCTCATGTTAGTGTGTCTTTAAAAGAGAAATTACAAATGAGCCAGTCGATAAGCCAATAGTGAATGGACCAATATTTATACAAAACTTTCTTTTTTCCTTCTTCCTTTACAGCTCTGTGAACTGAAATTCTGTGTATTCAAACCATCATACGATTTTTCTGGTCGAAATCCAAATTTTTCTCTGCAAAAAGAAATAATCTATGTTCTTCCTGTATGTTTAGTGTTTATGTAAAAAGAAAATGGTAAGGTTTACTTACCTGACCATTACTTAGCTGAGATTTAAAATTAAAGTCATATTTGATTTTCATCTATTTTTACATTATATTTTAAATAGGAGCCTTATTTGAGAGGGGTTGAGCATACCTTTCTCATTCCTGAGAGTGATCTAGAACCAAAAATTAGAGGTTTCACCATTCCCTAAAGTTACCACAGAACATTGGTCTTCTAACAAAACAGATAACCATGTGCCTGGAAATAACCTTTCCCAATCTGCTGAAGATGTGAGTGTAAATATATTAAAGGCTGTGAGGGGTTTGTTGCTGAATCAAATCTTTTTTTTTTTTTTTTGCGGTACGCGGGCCTCTCACTGCTGTGGCCTCTCCCGTTGCGGAGCACAGGCTCTGGACGCGCAGGCTCAGCGGCCATGGCTCACGGGCCCAGCCGCACTGCGGCGTGTGGGATCCTCACGAACCCGTGTCCCCTGCATCAGCAGGCGGACTCTCAACCACTGTGCCACCAGGGAAGCCCCCACAATAACTTTTTAAAAGTGCATATTATTGGACATATGTGCCAGGCATTGTTCTAAATGCTTTAGGTGTATTAGCTCATTTACTCTTCACAAAAGGCTTGTCAGGTGGGTACTGTTATCTCTGTTTTACAGATGAGGAAACAGGCACACACAGGTTAAGTAAATTGCCAAGGTCACACACAGATGATAAACTCAGGCATTCTGGATCCAGAGCCTGTTTTGTTATCATTATACCACCATACACAGTATACCTAACCATGCACTTGTACTCTTAAGTCATTTGCAGGAGTAAGTTCTCTCAATTGGGAGAAATAACCAATCATGAAAACTTCTAAATTCCCATATGCTCCCCTTACAAATTCAAACTGCAACCCAAGGAAGAGGAAATGCCTTACGTAAGTTGCAAATAGAGTTAGAACATGTGGGCTCTTCTGCACTTGTTCTCAGGCAAGAAGCCCATACCTTTCAAAGTATATAAACAACATTCAAATAGAATGTGATTGACCAACATTAGAGTCCCCACTACTAATGAGGCACTGCTGTTTTCTGCCCTGGAGGTCTCCACTTAACAGAATTCACCTGAGTTTCTTTTTTCTCTTTTTTTGTCTCAGAATAAGTGGATAAGCCGCAGCCCCATGCTGCAGAGGCGGGTCTACCATTCCATGGCTGCTGTTCAAAGGAAGCTTTATGTTCTTGGAGGCAATGACCTGGACTACAATAACGACCGGGTCCTCGTGCGGCATATAGATGCCTACAACATGGACGCTGACCAGTGGACGCGTTGTAATTTTAACCTGTTGACTGGCAAGTACCTTTGATTGAGTAAATCGGGAAAAGCAGAGATTCAGGAAGTTGCCATACTTGTTTTCTTAGATATCCGTAGTGCAGCTGTAAATATTAAGTGCATGGTGGTAGAACAACTTGCTCTTATTACCCAGAAGGGTGTGCATTGTTTATCTCACAAAATCGGACTCAGTCAGGTGGCTGAACATCTGGTTTCTCAGGGCCTGTGTTACCTTTGTGTGTGTTTTCACGTTGCCGAGAGAGACGTGTCAGGTCCATTATTGTCTATCAGTATTCATGTAGGAACATTGGTATAAGTAGGAGGAACCAGGTGTTGAAAGAGGTAATGACTCTTTCCAGAAGCAATTTATTTTTTACTTCTCACTACTTTTAGTCCTCTTATTTCTTGCGAGTGCAGAATGGTCTTCATTGTTTGTCAGTGTCAAATATCGTTTCTGCCTGTATTCTCCTAAAGACAAAACCTTAGAGATGTTCCGTGCATGGGGGTTTGGCAGCACTTCTGGCCACACAGACGCACCCAAGCATTACCACGGGGTAGCACTAGGTAGGGACCATACTCATCCCACAGGGGAATAAAATGAAAGCAGCGAACAGCTTACCCCTGACTTTTTTTTATGAAGTTGAAAATTTGTCCTCCCTTTTCGGCCTACGTGATTAAGATCCCTTCTAGGCTGCTCTAGTAGGAAAATCGCAAACTCGAACGGGTGGGCTGGACTGTTGCCTCAAGACACTTTAATATGCTGAGTGGGCACTCAATCACTCACAGCTGCTGCTACGGAGGCCACAGTGGGGGCATAACCAGTGTGAGAGGTTCAGATGCTTTGTATTGAGCTCCTGTTTTTGCGAAAATGATCTTTGAGGCCCACCTACAAGCACTTAACTCTTAAGTTGCTGTAGTGGTACCTTAGCCCCTTGGTCCCTCGATCTGTGATTCTGTCTGCTATAGGATCCAGCTTATTTATTACCCGAGTCAATCCTGTGTCAGCCCATCAATAAAAAGAGACTATCTCACTCTCTGATGGCCTCCAGGGAAGAATATGTAGTAGTGAGTTATTCTATCTTCTTTTTTAAGTGGGGGGGGAACCTTTCATCATTTTGGCGTGTCAGTATCTAGGGACTACCCAGGCTGGTCCCAGCTCAGGAACTTTAATATAGTCTTAAAACTGTTGTGTATGTAAAGAAAAGAAGGGTAGTAACTTTATCAATCTTTTCTCTCATTTATCTTCATTTGGGGCACACTAGGGGCATGGCTCTGTTTTATTGGCTTCTTGCGGTTGCAGCCATTACAAATGTAAGCACTTGCTTAAAAGCATTTGTAGTACAAGAGGTGTTTTGCATTCCTAAAATATACCATATCAACTAATGGCATACAACATAGTATAAAATTTAGTTCTATGTGGATTATTGCTGTATTTAATGCTGTATTTACTAACTTGGCTGGCTATTAAGTGTTATGGCCGGATTCTGACCCAACACAGAGTCATTCTCTGAGAGTGGTTAATTCTTCCCTCTGAGAACTGGGAGACAGTGATTAGTTGAGGCAGAAATCCTGTGGAATATACAAGTGTGCCACAGAGGGAAATTGTATCCTTCAGTGGCAAAAGGGTTAATGAAGACATGCAAGGAAATGGATTTATTTTTCCTCTTTTATTCACTTCTCTTTACTTTAGGCCAAAATGAATCTGGAGTTGCTGTCCATAATGAGAGAATATATTTAGTGGGTGGATATTCGATTTGGACAAACGAGCCTCTGGCTTGCATCCAGGTGAGTGGTTTAAGTTCCTTTTGGAGTTTGTTCAAGTGGTTCAGTGAGGTTATTTTTGCAATGCTGCTATTGCAGGGAGAGATGTTTACAGGTAGGAAAAAGATTGAGCTTCCTTTGTGCAGCTAGTTCAGCCACTAAACTTCATCCTGCATCCTAAAGATGCTAACTAATAAATGATGGAGCCCTGTTGAAAATAAAGATGGCAGTGAGCTTTGGAAACATGTTATACTGGAAATGGGGAAAGTGGAATGCTTTTTCCTTTCTTTTAAACCAAAACATCTAGAAATCTTGGTAATAGTACTTTCACATCTGCAAAACTTTACAAATGTCTCCTTTCTATACCATTTTCTTATTTTCTGTATTACAATTCATTCAACAAATGCCACCTATGAAGGTGGTGTTCTTTCCTGGCAGAAGTGAGTAGTAGTTGTTTACGATTGGAAGCTTGTATTGCTTCCCGCTTAGAACTGTTTTTACTGTGTTCTGTAGGTGTTTTTATCATGTTTTCATTTTCATTTGTCTCCAGGTAATTTTTTAATTCCTCTTTGATTTCTTCAGTGATCCACTGGTTGTTGAGTAGCATGTAGGTTAGCATCCATGGGTTGTGTTTTTTGCAGTTTTTTCTTACAGTTAATTTTTATTCTAGTAGAGTTGTAGTCATAAAAAGATGCTTGATATGATTCCACTATTCTTAAATTTACCAAGGCTTGTTTTGTGGTCTAGCATGTGATCTATCATGGAGAATGTTCCATGTGCAACTGAAAAGAATGTGTATTCTGTTGCTTTTGGATGGAATGTCCTGTATGTGGCTATTAAGTCCATCTGGTTTGATGCTTCATTTAAGTCCAGTGTTTCTTTATTGATTTTCTGTCTGGGTGATCTGTTCACTGATGTAAGTGGCATGTTAAAATACCCTACTATTATTGTGTTACTGTCGTTATCCCCCTTTATGTCTGTTAATATTAACTTTATGTATTTAGGTGCTCCTATTTTAGGTGCATAGATATTTACAAGTGTTATATCTTCTACTTGGATTGACTTCTTGATCATTATGTAATGCCCTTCTGTGTGTCTTGTACCAGTCTTTGTTTAAACTCTGTTTTGTCTGATATAAGTATTGCTACACTGGCTTTCTTTTGATTTCCATTTGTATGGAAAATCTTTTTCAATCCCCTCACTTTCAGTGTATGCGTGTGTTTAGATATGAAGTGAGTCTCTTGTGAGCAGCATATATATAGGTCTTGTTTTTGTATCCATTCAGCCACTCTGTGTCTTTTGATTGAAGCGTTTAGTGCATTTACATTTAAAGTAATTATCAATATGTATGTTCCTATTGCCATTTTGTTAATTTTGGGGGGGTTGTTTTTGTAGATCTTTCTTCCCCCTTCTTTTGTTCTCTTGTGATTTGATGACTATATTTAGTGTTATGTTTGGATTCCTTTCTCTTTTTTTCTATGTACCTATTGTAGATTTTTGATTACCATGAGGTTTATATATAGCAATCTGTGTATGTGTGTGTGTGTGCATAGTTTTAAAACATACATGTTGTTTTAAGTTGCTGATCTCTTAATTTCAAATGCATTTTAACAACGCTGCATTTGTATTCCCCTCATGATTACTGTTTTTGACATCATGTTTTATATCACATTGTTTTGTGTATCCCTTAACTGCTTATTGTGGATATAAATGAGTTTTACTATTTTTGTGTTTTAACTTTTCTACTGGCTTTCTGTGTGGATGATTTCCTACCTTAACCGTTTGTTTACATTTACTGATGAGCTTTTTCCATTCATAATTTTCATGTTTCTAGTTGTGGCCTTTTAAGTGAAATAGAAAAGAGAAGCTCCTTTAACGTTTCTTGTAAAGCTGGTTTGGTGGTGCTGAACTCTGCTAGCTTTTGCTTGTTTGTAAAACTTTTGACCTCTCCGTTAATTCTAAAAGAGAGCCTTGCTGGGTGGAGTATTCTTGGTTGTAGGGTTTTCCCTTTCATCACTTTAAATATATTGTGCCAATCCCTTCTGGCCTGCAGAGTTTCTGTTAAAAAGTCAGCTTATAGCCTTATGACAGTTCCCTCGTGTACAACTTTTTGCTTTTCCCTTGCAGTTCTTAATATTCTTTAATTTTTGCCATTTTAATCAATGTATCTTGGTGTGTTCCTTTTTGGGTTAATCCTGTATGGGACTCTGTGCTTCCTGGATTTGGGTGACTGTTTCCTTTCCCAGATTAGGGAAGTTTTCAATTATTATGTCTTCAAATATTTTCTCAGCCCCTTTCTCTCTTCTCTTGGGACCCCTATAATGCGAATATTAGTGTGATTGATGGTGTCTCAGAGGTCTCTTAAATTGTCCTCATTTATTTTTATTCTTTTTTCTGTTCAGCATCAGTGATTTCCACTACTCTGTCTTCCAGCTCACTGATTCATACCTCTGTATCATAGAGTCTGTTGATTCCTTCTAGTGTATTTTTCATTTCAGTTATTGTATTCTTCATCTCTGGTTGTTCTTTATAGTTTCTAACTCTGTTAAAAACTTCTGGGCCTCCCTGGTGGCGCAGTGGTTGAGAGTCCGCCTGCCGATGCAGGGCATGCGGGTTCGTGCCGTGGTCCGGGAGGATCCCACATGCCGCGGAGCGGCTGGGCCTGTGAGCCGTGGCTGCTGTGCCTGCGCGTCCGGAGCCTGTGCTCCGCAATGGGAGAGGCCACAACAGTGAGAGGCCTGCATACCGGAAAAAACAAAACAAAACAAAAAAACAAAAAAAAAACCTTCTAACTTCTTGCTTTGTGCATTCATTCTTCTCCTAAGTTCTTTGATCATCTTTACAGTCACTACCCTGAACTCTTTCTCAGGTAGATTGCCTATCCATTTCACTTAATTCTTCTTCTGGGGTTTTTATCTTGTTCCTTCATTTGGAGTATGTCCCTCTGTTGCCTTGTTTTGCCTAACTTGCATTTAAAATTTTTCTGTGTCTGGTAGGTTGGTTACAGTTCCCAGCCTTGGGTAAGTGACCTTTTGTAGGAGATGTCCTATGCATCTTGGCAGCACACACCCCTCTCATCACCAGAGCTACATGCTCTAGTGGTGCCCCTATATGGGCTGCATGGGTCCTTCTTTTGTGACGGGCTGACTGCTGTGGCTCACTGGAGGATGGAGTCAGGGTCCAGAAGACCTCAGGGCTGCTGCCTGCCCACTGGTGGATGAAGCCAGATCCTGGGCCTAATGCTGGCCTACTGGTGGGCAGAACTGAGTTCTGGGAACTGGTTGCAGGGCCCAGGGGTTCCAGAGCTATTGTCCAATCACTGGTGGCTGTGGCTAGTTCCTAACACAGTTGGTTGCAGGGTCTGGGCTGTCCTGAAGCTTGTATTGGCCTGCTAATGGGCAAGGCCAGGGCCCAGCCAGTGTGAGGGCAGGGTCTGGCCTGCTGGTGGAATGGCCAGTTCCACAGGCTGCAGGGCTGTGGTTGTATTGTGGCTCATGTTCACCCCCTTGGTGGTTAACAGTGGTCCTGAGACTAGAGAGGCTCACCAGAGGCTGTTGCAAAGGCCCAGGGATTTCTGGGGCTGCCCACTGTATCCCAGCATCTCTGGGTGGAGGGCCCTAGGGGCCCCATATCTAGTGTCTGTGTACTAGTTTGTAGGGCTGTGTCCTGAGCCCTCTGGTAGGCAGAGCCATGTCCGGGGAGCTCTGGGCTCAGGGAGTTTTAAGGCAGCCCTTCTGCTAATGGGTGGAGCTGTCTCTGCTCAGTTAGCTGCTTGGCCTGAGGCATCCCAGCACTGGTACCTAGTCTGTTGGGCCAGGGTAGGGCTGGGTCCCAAGGCTAAAAAGGTAGAGGGAGGATTAAAAAGTGGCGCTTGCCAGCACCAGTGTCCATGAGTGAGCTGTGAGATCACTCCAAGATAAGCAGGTAGGTCTGACCAAGGCTTCTTTCAAATTACTGCTTCTGCTCTGGGACCAGGAGTGTAAGATTTCATGTGCACCCTTTAAGAGTGAAGTCTCTATTTCCTCCAGTCCTCAGGCACTCCTGAAAGTAGGCGCTGCTGGCCTTCAAAGCCAAATGCTCTGGGGGCTCATCTTCCCAGTGTAGGACCCCTGTGCTGGGAAATCCAACACGGGGCTCAGACCCCTCACTCCTTTGGAAGAACCTCTGCAATTGTAATTACTCTCACCACTGTGGGTTGCCCACCTGTGGGTATGGAACTTGACTAAATCACAACTCCGCCTCTCTTACCCATCTCGGTGTGGTACCTTCTTTATATCTTTAGTTGTAGAAAGTCTTTTCTGGTAGGTTCCAAACTTTTTCATCAATGGTTGTTCTGCAAATAGTTGTAATTTTGGTGTGCCTGTGAGAGGAGATGAGCTTAGGGTCTTCTACTGTACCATCTTGGCCAATCTCCAGAGGCAGTACACTCTTCGACATCAATCTTAGAAATATTATTTTTAATGTGTCTCTATTTCCTGGCTTCTGGAGTATCCAGGGTTGTTCCTCTGACTCTAATGTCTCCTCTTTCATTTCTAATTTATTTATTTTCTTCTTTGATTAGCAGTTTTATTATTATCCTTTTTTATTGGGGTATAGTTGTTTTACAATGTTGTTAGTTTCTACTGTACAGCGAGTAGAGTTCCCTGTGCCATACAGCAGGTTCCTATTAGTTATCTGTTTTATACATAGTAGTGTATATATGTCAATCCCAATCTCCCAATTCATCCTACCACCACCCCCCTGCTTTCCCCTCTTGGTGTCCATACATTTGTTCTCTACATCTGTCTCTATTTCTGCCTTGTAAACTGGTTCATCTGTGCCATTTTTCTAGATTCCACATATATACATTAATATACGATAGTTGTTTTTCTCTTTCTGACTTAACTTCTAATTTATTTGAGTCCTCTCTTTTTTCCTTGGTAAGTCTAGCTACAGGTTTACCTATTTTTGTTTATCTTTTAAAAGTGGGTTTAAGCTTTACTGACCTTTTCTATTGTCTTTTTATAGTTTCTATTTCATTTATT